TATACTTAATTACTTATACTAATTGGCAGGATGTTTGTTTTGATATAAGTATATAGCTTACTCTGATCGGAAGATAATACTAATTGATAGTTTTCTGCCAGTTGTTTGTAAAATTAATCTTCTTGTGTTTTTATTAAACACCAATCCTAAAGAACTGAAAAAAGTTACAAGTAATCAAGCTTAAGAATATTTTGAAATCGAAAGGAATTATGTTCTAGTTTCATCGATGACATAGTCCGTGAATATTTAGACAAGTCCTTCATTTATTAGTCTCACCAGTCACAGTCTTAACAAACCTGTAGTTTTAGTCTTTATCATGCATAGGATAAAAAAAAAATTTTCAAAGATTTATAGAAGAAAAAAATTCATCCTCTTAAAATATATACCCTAATACAGTTTACGTATGCTTTGAAATCAGTCTCACAATATGTAGTTTCTTTTTCAAGGGTGATGTTACCGAAGTTGCACAGTCACATGTAATTTACAAAACTCTTACCTTTGTTGTGTGAAAGTACATGTTAGCTGTCAACATACATGTGTCATTGCAATAAGGAAATGCAGCTAGTTGTGGTATTTTTATGTTTTATCTGAATGATACATAGACACAGTCATAGGCTACACTTTGAAGGAGCAGTAGACATGTAGTAACTAGGGACTCTAAGGTGGAGCCACAGCTTCTGACTTACTTCCTGTCGTTCTCATGTTAAAATCACTATCTTTCTCGAGCGATTTCAGTAAAGAATACCAATAATAATGTAGACTGATTTTGTTGACTGAGCATTAAGCTACATCTATTTCACTTTGTGTTTTTACAATCAGGCCAAATCTGATTCATAGGATATAACCTGGACAGAATCTGATTCATAGGACATAACCTGGACAGAATCTGATTCATAGGATATAACCTGGACAGAATCTGATTCATAGGACATAACCTGGACAGAATCTGATTCATAGGACATAACATGGATAGAATCTGATTCATAGGACATAACATGGACAGAATCTGATTCATAGGACATCACCTGGATAGAATCTGATTCATAGGCCATAATCTGGACTGAATCTGATTCATAGGACATATTCTGGACATAATCTGATTCCTAGGCCATAATCTGGACTGAATCTGATTTATAGGACATAACCTGGACAGAATCTGATTCATAGGACATAATCTGGACTGAATCTGAAGAAAGAGGGAGGGGGAGAGCAATATGTGTAGTATCCCCCCCAATAAAATATTTTGGGGTTTCTTTTATTTTGTCCCTCGTAGCAAGACAATGGAATACAAAAACCCAGTTTAAACTTTTTGACTCCAACATTCTAATTAGATTTGAAGAAACAATTGTAGCTTTAAGCCAACACAACTGAAGTAACCTTTTATTTTTTAGTCCTATTTTAAAACTTTGTATTTTATACACTTGATAACTAAATAACAACAAGTAGTTATGTATCTGTTGGCCTAGTTTGGCATCATACTGAAATGTGGATTCATTTTAGGGTTTAAGAAAAGTGACTCCTCCTTCTCAACCATTGAAAAGGAAAGCACCTGATATAAAACCGGTCAAGTCCAAGCAGCTTAAGACTACTGATGAACAGCAGATCACATCTGGTATGTTTATAGCGTGAACATTTGGTTTATAGTGTTAAATCATTTTTATGTTATGTAGCTAATATAAAATTGAATAAAACTAAAATACAACAAACAATTTTTATCTTGTTTGGTCACACAAGTAAGTAAGAATATTCCGATTTACCTTTAGCAGTTATCTTGAGCAGTAAAAGTTAAGTTATGAAGCTGTGATCATCTTGAAAATAATTTTATTATTCATTACAATAAATTCAGGAGCTTAATGTAAACTGTGTTTATAAATTTTCATACTGAAATGTTTCTAACTTTATAAACTATAAAAAAAGTAACATTATTCTGAACGTTTTTAACTGTATCTTACCTTTTTGTGTTTTTACACTATATTATAATATATATATATATTTGTTTTCTGATTACTGTCAGGCTTAACCTTGTGTAATTATTAGAGTTTTGGCCACTTCTGCCTGTTTCTAGAGTGAGATGACGTTTTTACTTCCGTACCGAAACACCTTTTTATTAATTATTACAGAACCACAACAAAAAATCAAGTTTTGGAAAGGTCAGGAGGTGAAAAGACATGTCGCTGATATCGTGGATTTGGATATTATGCTTATGGTTATTAAAGAAATCATAGAAGAAATGAGGTCAATATATTTTAATTACATGTTTGAATCTTTACCAAAAATAATCTTCTGTTATCATAAAGAATCTTTCAAACTCTGATATTGAAGTTTGTATGAGTAAATTTGTTTGTAATGTGAGATTTTATGATTTTTTTGGTAACAATGAATGTACAAACATCTGTAAGGTAACGGCAAATGCAATTTTTTTAAACAGTTATTTGGAAACACTAGAAACACTTGTAACTTGACTTGTTTAGCGAATACGTGGTTTGTTACAATTTGTAAAAATGTTGGCACTTCTAAGAATACACCACTGAATTTCATTGAAGTAGTGAAAATAACTACATGAATCTTTAGGAATCATACTTGTCTTATGCTTTTGTCGAAGTTTTCAGCATCTCTCCCTGATTTCTACTCATATCTGAAGCCTAATGCCTCAAGAGTTCAAAATTTTCAAATAAAACATTTCCAGACATTTATGTCATTTGATTTTGAACACTAAATTAAGCAAGACGTCGTAAAAATAAAGTGAAGAATCTTTACGTTAGAAAAATAGGGCATTCTGTAACACAATAAGATTGTGTGTGTGTGTAAGACGTGGTTATTATTTCTTGTTTAGAAAGAGTACGAGAAATGAGAGGACCTTGGGAGTTTTGTGTGAGTTGGAGGATTCTGTGGAAACCCAATTTAAAGAGATGGTAAAATGTTCTGAAAAACATTATTTGATATGTTATTGTAATGCAGCATAATATATTTACTAGTCGTAAAATCATTAAAGTCCACTTAGAGTAGAGGTTACAAAAATTTATACTGAATGATATACGGTAATTGTAACTGATAAAATTGGGTGTGTAATTTATTAAAAATCAATTTCTTTGTAAACATTCAATAAAAACTGCATGTTTTACACAAATATTGGACGTTTATCGTACGTAGAAGTTTACAGCTGTAAATACTCTGTTAAGATACAAGAAATTTAGGCTTAAATTTGTAATAACTTGCTTAGTAAAGATTCTATTTTTATTACAGATCTTAAAATTGCATAAACAGAGGGTTATGAAAATGAAGATCCTCAAGGTAAATCCTGCATGTTTTGTTATTACATAAAGTTATTCAGGACACTTGACATAGATTGATAACTATACAGTTATTCAGGACACCCGACATATATTGGTAACTATACAGTTATTCAGGACACTTGACATATATTGGTA